CGTACTCAGGCCATGGCGCGACATCACTCCCGCGCAGGCACCTCGCGACGGGTCGGCGCACTCGTGCGGCTCAGCCCCGGGGGCGGTCGCGAAGTTTCCGAGAATTTGGGCTGGAAATGCCGCCGCCACGGGTTGGTGGCGCCCTCGGCAGCGGGGCAGCGCCACGCCGCGCACGGTAATTGCGCGACAAACTTTCGACCTCTGTCCCTCGTATTCACCCCAGATTTTGCCCTATCCCGGCTTACCAGGTACCAGGGTTGAGGGTACCGCGAGCGGCGAGCCGCGCCAAGTTAGCTCCATTTCCGACAAGTTCATCCCGCCCGATACGCCGATCTTCGGCCGTCCGGAGGCCCAAGACGGGGCCTGGGACCGGCCAGGTGTGGATTCTCCACGGCGCTGCGGTGTATCTGCGCGCCCATGGAGTTCAGGGGTGCGCCTGAGGCGTGTAGGCTGCGGGGCGCCGCGATAGCGCGGCGCCGACGATTGTGTCGCTCACTGTCACACCGACGGCACGGTCCGCACCGCAACAAGCGCAGAAAGAAGAAGTCAGGGAAATCAAAAGTATGAGCCCGCTGAGGCGCAGTGCTCTTGCAGAGGCGGTTAGTGCATAGTGGTGCACCAACCCCGAGAAACCCGTCGGGTCACTCCTCATGCTCATCGCAAACCCTGTCAGCAGTCTTCCGCCGTCCTCCTCCTCGCCTCGGAATGTACGTAAGAGCCACACATCCTTGTAACAACGAAAAAACTGAAAAGGCACTGCGAGGCATCGCCATCGCGCTGCGCATACATGATACATGTAACCGAATCAGACAGGAAGGCGCCACGTTTTAGCCTCCGAGGTTCAGCCGCCGGCTTCAGCCGCCGGCGTCGGTGGGTGGCTGCAAACGATCCCACATCACCCCCTCGCGCTTGGCGAGAACAAGCATCATGTTCAGCTCGGCGACGTGGTGGCGCACCTGTTGTGTGAGGGGAGGGGGGTTCGAGGTAGTAGGCTGGTGCAGCTCTGGCGGAGGAGATGCACATGCTGAGGGGGGGGGGGGGGGGCACCTCGGCAGTCAACACCTCTCCCGCTAGCGCCAGCTCCGCCACGTAGTCTCGTAGCGCCTCCCCTGCGCTTGCCCGGAAAGCGACGCGGAGCTGGCGCGGCTGCACGCTCACGCACAGCGACGACTCGACGATGCCAGGCACCTCCATGATGAATGCGACGGCTGCAAGGTCCTGCCGCCAGCTGATCCACCCGGGCAAGGGGCGAGCGCCGCCAGCGGCGGCAAGCCCCTCGCCCGCTTGCAGCGCAGTAGCATTTGCCTTCTCTGTCCTCTCAGCCTGATCGCCCCCCGCGTCCTCCGCCACTCCCCGAAACGCGCCCGCCGCGGCGCCTGTCGCGGCGCTTGCCGCGGCTGTGCCCGTCCGCCCCTGAGAGGACGCCTTGCTGCGCACCTCTGCCGCCTTCGCGCGAGCGGCCGATCGCCGATCGGCCGCCGCCTGCTGCGCCTGCTGCGCCTTCAGCAGCGCAGTTCGCGCTGCCTCGAGCCGCTCCCCGGCGGCTCTCACCGCCGCCTCCGCCGCCTCTTCCTCCTTCTCTGCTCTCAGCAGGTGCGCATCCGAAGCAGCTTTCGCTGCCTCCGCCGCCTCAACCTCCGCCGCCGCGGCTGCCGCCGCCTCCGCCTCTCCCTCCGCGTTGGAGTCGTCCAGCGAGACGATGGGCAGAGTGACGGTAAGCACGCGCTTCTTCTTGTCGAACTTGGCGGTCGCCTCGCTGTCACGCACTCGCTGCGCCAGAGGCTGCACGAGGTGGTAGCCCGGGGCTGTTAGCTCGAGCCTGTCCGGCGCGAGTTGGAGGTCCAATTCACCCGCCTTGCGAAGAGAGGGGAGGGAGATGGAGACTAGGAGCAGGTCGCCCTCAGTTCTGGTCGTGGCGTCGGGGGCAACAATTGTGCCCATGAACGCACGGCAGGCGCGGGAGGCCTCACGACAAACACACTATGAAAAGAATTAAAAAAGCGGGCGGCAAGCACCACTTGATTTGTGGAGGAGAGGCAGAGACAGCAAGGAACGCATCACTCCCTACAGGCCATACAGTTAGGAAGAAGAACTCAGTCCTGGGCAGCGGGCGGCGGGCACTTGCGACACCGTACCCTCGGTGCCGGGGCCGCCTCCGTCGCGGCTGCCCTGCCGCTCCACACGTTGTGCGAATTTGCCGCTCGTCCCACATGTTGCCGCCAGAGCCGCTGGCACGGGCGCAGGACCTCGCAATCGTGCTGCTCGAGCTGTGCGTTGGCCTCGCTTCGTTCACCGGTTGCATGGTCGCCGTGGACAAGCTCTTCCTCTTCTACTCAACCATCTTCTACAAGGCAATGGCCTTCCTCAGCCCAGACCGGTACGAGCCGACGCGGCGGTACCCCTGCGCGCTCAAGCGGAACGCAAAGCACCCGCGCGTGCTGGTGCAGCTGCCGATGTTCAACGAAACGCACGTAGCGGCAAGGATCATCGAGTATGCGTGCAAGGGTGGCGACCGGCTCGGCTGGAAGGGGGCTTTTGTCGCCTTTGGCAATACCGAGCGGGCGCTGCTCGACTTAGTGTTAGGGCATGCTGCATTGGCCGCGGCCGGGGGGGGGGGGGGGGGGAAGGGGGGGGGGGGGGAAGCCAAAAATTCAAAAGCGGAGGCGGCCGCCGCGAAAAAAAAGGGGGAAGAAAATGAGGGGGAAGCGGAAGCCGGGGCCCCTTTTAAGGCCCCCTACGAAAAGGGGGACTCCCGGTTCCCGCGGGAAAAAAAATGCAACCTGCGTTTGCCCCACTTCAAAAACTTTGGGGGTTTCTGGAACGGGGTCCCCAAAATTTTTCGGAAGGGCGCGGACCCTCTGAATAAAAAAATTTTGCAACCCGCAAGCTTTAATCCTCCGGGATGAGGTCCCCTGGACCCCCAAAAAATGGGACGGGATTGCAAAAGCAACCCTTGTTTTCCCTCCCTCCCCCCCCCGTGGGGTGCGCAAACGGGAAACAACATCCCGGAGGGGGACCCCCGCCATTTTGCCCGGGAGTAAAGGCATTTCCGTTCTTAAA